GTTGATGTAATGAATAAAACAATGCTAAAAGAGTGTCCATGTTTTCAGTATTCTGCAGAAAAAATTCTTCTCATAGGCACACTATTCTCCAACATTGCTCACAACTAGCAAAATGCATTGGCATATAATGGAGAAGTGGTTAGGGAAACCTAGCCACCAATGACAAGCCAATATCCCCAAACAACCAAAAGTGGCAGATGAGCTAGAATGCAGCCTTTTTTTTAAAAAAAATTTTTTGGGGAGGAGGGGGGAGTGTTCTACAGAAATGAGTCATAGGCACACTATTCTCCAACATTGCTCACAACTAGCAAAATGCATTGGCATATAATGGAGAAGTGGTTAGGGAAACCTAGCCACCAATGACAAGCCAATATCCCCAAACAACCAAAAGTGGCAGATGAGCTAGAATGCAGCCTTTTTTTTAAAAAAAATTTTTTGGGGAGGAGGGGGGAGTGTTCTACAGAAATGAGGGAACATTTTGAAAAATATTAAGTATGATATGCTTTATTTCCAGGTGTTGTAGGACAACATAGAACTTGAAACCTCTGCCTGTAAGCTAGTTCAATTTGGATGACAACACATGCATTTGCCTTGAAATACTTATTTGAATATTGATAGAAATGTAGCTGTGTTAGTCTGGTATAGCTGAAACAAAATACAGGACTATGTAGCATTTTAAAGACTAACAAGACGGTTTATTAGATGATGAGCTTTCGTGGGCCAGACCCACTTCCTCAGATCAAATAGTGGAAGAAAATAGTCACAACCATATATATGGTTTATATATATGGTTTGGTATATATGATTGTGACTATTTTCTTCCACTATTTGATCTGAGGAAGTGGGTCTGGCCCACGAAAGCTCATCATCTAATAAACCGTCTTGTTAGTCTTTAAAATGCTACATAGTCCTGTATTTTGTTTGAATATTTTATGATTCGTAAGTAGAAACCTGCAAATTTGTGGATATCCTCATCTAGGGATGATCTGCAGATATGTGGATCCCAAATTTGTATCTGCACAAAGACTATGAAAATCCTTCCCAATAAAACACAAGAATCTTTTGACAAGATTAATCTAAAAAGGTCATCTAACAGGTTGTCAGCAGTGGTCAGCCATTTGTACGTGAATAAAAGCATCTATATCTTTCTATTTAACATGCTTTGAATCCTGAATATTTACTAATCAAAGAGATGTATTGTACTGAGTCTATAGTGTGTCTTATTGGAGAACATACTGAAGTGCTAAGTACATGAACGTAAATGCTAAATCCTACACTAATGGATAGGGGATAGTTAGATAATATTACACCGTCTCCCCTTGAGTTTCTAGTTTCTATATTAGTCATTTATATTACTGCAAATATTACATTTTTAAAACCACTTCCAAGTATTAGTTTAGTAAAATGTGTACAGCACACAGATAGGTTTTTCCAGCTTTTTAGCTATTACTCTAGGTAAACAAATATTTATTTTAACAAGAGCCAAATAATTCTTATTAGGACTACAAAATAACCTACCCATATATTTTAAACTTACTTGACACAGGAAGCACAACAGGAGGTGGTGGCTGAGGATGTACTTGTGGGCCTGGCATTCTCATATTGTGAGCAGGACCTGGCATTGGAGGCATTAGCATACCAGGAGGAGGAGGAGGAGGGGGGAGTCCTGGAGGTGGTGGTGGAAAAGGAATCATGCTTGGCAATGAAACTTCATCTACTACTAACGGGTCATTTCCATGATCAAATTGGCAAAGGTCGCCAAGTACACAAAATCCTCGCTCTGCAAAGACAACAATTTCATTACATTTATCAAGAACTTCAAAATGATTGCTATAAAATTTAACAAAGTATAACCATTTCCAAGATTTCTCATTAAAGAACATACTAAATGCATTTAAGAAGACCAGAATTTTCTGATCTAACATTTTGTTTTACACTATTAAATAAAACTTCAAGCTAGAGTTCAAGTTGGAATTATATGATTTCAGAGTCAAACAACCTGAACCGTTTCCACCACAGTGTACCAACTTCACCAGTAACACGGGAAGTAGGCAGGTAAGGGAGAGACAGAATTACCACCGGTTTTAGACCAAATACTATAATCATATTGAGCACTGCTAAAGGCTGACACATTTGCCAAGACATACATGTAGAATTATGAACTTAATATGTTTCTGCCTGCGCAAAGAATTGTCAGATTTCAAATAAACTACTTCCAGCAACATTAAGTCTGACCCAAGCAATCTTTATACACCACTTAATCTTCATTTACTGCTTCCATTTAGTGAAGAATTTAATAGAGTATTTAAAAATAAAAGAATGAGAGCTAAGAAACAGAGGCACTAGAGAGGAAGTTCGAGAGAAACGGATAGCTTCCTTACCATCATAATCTCGACATCGTCTTTTAGGCGGAGGGTTTCTGCCAAATGAATTTGGAACACTATGATTGTTATAATAATTTGACCAGCTCTCTGTTGTGTTCTCAGGATGGTGAGCAGGTGCAATCACAGTAACTGCACTGGGAATAGATTGCGCAGAGGAATACTGTTCAGTAGAATTACTGGATGACAAAGACACTGGATTATATGTGCTCTCTGTGTCATTCCTTTCACTCTTGAATTTTGCTCTCTCTTTGTGTTCCGCTTAAAAAAAGAAAAAGAAATTAAGTAAAGTAAACCAGGTAAGTTTTTGTGCTTTTTTTAGGTTTATCAAAGGCCTGCAGAATGGAATGCATGGATAGCTAGTGGACATTGCATAGTAACACAAACTTGCTTATTCGCCATGAAGAACATAGAATTTTTATACTATCGGTGACAGATTACTTTTTGTAAAACGCTAGAACTGTAGACCCAAGGCATCAAGAAGTTTCCACTTCAGCAACTGGTCACTGCTCTCACAAAGCTCATATTTATCCAACCATTTTACTTTCTTCAAAACAAAAGCAACTTTTCCCTATAATGTTGCATGAATGACACACGCTCCTTAACATACCCTGAAATCCACAACACTTTATTCTGCCAGTCCCTTCAGTTCCTGGATTCCCTATACAAGGCCAAGAGAAAACATGATGCCATCATTCCATTTAAATATTAAAAAAGAAAACTCCTAACATTGAAACAATTTTATAAGAACAAAACAACTTCTGCACAAAAAACAGACAGCACAATATCAGATGCATACATCCACTGGAATACACTTATGAATAAATTAAAATGGAGTAAAAAACCCTCTAATTCCCAAGACTGTACTATTCTACTGAACAGCCCCTTAATTGGTTTAATTATGTCAGCAGTATGTAGTTCTCCAAGCCTTTTCCATAGCTAGTGTCCTTAAACAGCTCACTGGCATCCAAATTCTGCATCGTTATATATTTTGCATTAATCACTACAACGAGTCAGATGTTCTTTCAATGCAATGCTTTGGCTACTCACCAGTATTTCTGGTCGGATCCCGGTCTTTGCTTCTACCCCCACTGCGGCTGCGACTTCGGCTTAACCCTCTGCTTTTACTACGACTTTTACTCCTGCCTCTTCGCCAGTCATATTTATCTCTATATAAATCATTCCGATCATAGTATCGATCATAGTCTCTCCATTTGCCATCATCTCTCTTTTTCTCTCTGGTTCTGTAAGACAGGTATGTGTAACCCACACACATTGAGAGAAAAAGCTATGGAACATGCTTGCAGTTGCAAATTGTAAATATTCTTCTCTTCTCAATCTACTCACACATTGGGGCCCATATGTGAGACAACATGGCAATGGCGACACAAGAACACATTCCTAAAATGCAAACATCACCAGCTGCTATTAATATTGTATACATCTCCACCCCTTAATGATCATCATTCACATTTCAGAAAGGAGAATAATTAGAATAGATGGAACTCTTAAACATCCCTTAGCACCAGCCTGAGAGACACTGTTGTGTTCTCAGAGGAGATTATGTTCTACCAAAGAGTTATTGTGTAAAACAGCTCTCTCAAGAGGTGAAAATTTACAGTTAAAGAGTCTTGCCACAAAACAAAGGAACCCGTTGTGCTTCATACCAATACTAACCTTTGTTCATTAGAATCTAAACGGTTTCTCTGTGGGCTAGGATGCTTCTTTTTCCTGCCATCTCGTTCTTCCTCAAATGACTCTTGAAATATCTATTTAATAAACAACACATCATTAAACAAACAAATGGTTTTAAAAATACAAAGAAATAAACCAAGATTTAGTTCACATCACATCTAGCAACTGTTTAAGACAACAGAACACCTATGCTACACATATCTAACAAAACACCAGGGTTGTAAACAGTCATATCTTTCTTTTTAAAAGTGTTTAGTTTCTTTTTGGCACTACAGTTTTCCAAAAACAGGAAACTATTTTGGGTTAAATTTACATCAGACAGGAGGTGTCTAGAAAAATAGTGTCAACCTCTAATTGGTTGTAGGATTCCTTACTGTAAGCAAATAGGATCTTTTAGGTACGATTTCCCAGACAACAAGAACTTAAAACTATGCAGCCTTGCAGGCGTTCTTTTATCTGTACTTGCATCATTAATATGAATTCTGGGTATAATCAATACCTGTAAGTGGTAAACTATTCATGTATTTGAACAATAGTATTCAAGTCATAAACCTTTTACAAGCATTACCAAAAAAGCTAAAATCAATTTCACTGGTGCCTTTAGTCAGCTTCAGCATAACTTCATCTGCTTGAAAAAAATCCTTTGTCCTGTTTCTAAATTTATTTGCAGCCATTTTGTCACAAAGTATATCGCTTATAAAATTAACAATTTTGATGGCAACAACAGAAAACAATGATCTTTTATGAAAGATTGTATGCATTTTTTAAAGTAACGGTATTACTTCAAGGTAACTATGTTATTTTAAGATTCTTCCTTTGTCTGCATTATTTTAGCCTGTGTCATTCCATTTACAAGAATACTGAAATATCTCTAGATGTGCAGCAAACAAGGTTTCACAATGAAAAAAGACAGTCTGGTTTAGGACTGGTTATAGTATATCCTGATCCCATGGATGATCCCAACCCCCGTAAGAAACCAAAATTCTCAATATTCGACCAAGAGAACAATATCAGTTCTGTTCCAACATGAACTATCATAGTTAAATACAAGTATTGTGGCATCAAAAGTAGTAATTGACTTGCAATGATGCAATGTGGCAAATTTTCCACTCAGGATCAGATAGTATTTCAGAATTAGAATTTTGGTATGAAGACGGCCTTTAGATACAATTATAAGCAACATCTACACAGTTCAGTCTACAAAATAGCTATTTTGAACTGTGTAGATATTATGTTATGCTTTTAGTAGAGAAATGTCTCCCTTTCTAAACTCACCATTATATGGCTATTCTTTGGAGGTCTGACTAACATTTCGCAATGTGTGATCATTTACGGTCTCCATGACCTTCAGCTGGTTGCCGACATTACAGATAGTTTACTACACTTTTGTTGTCCTATTTCCAATATCTATATGCAGACTGTCAGGCAACAGCATATATGTGAAAAATCCATTTAGAGGCACTTGTCTTAAGCCTTGTTTCCCCCCCCACACACAACTATTCACTTACCAAGGAGAGATTTTTAGAAGGGAGACTTCCAGTAGTTCTAACAGTACATGATATACATGCTTATGACGTGGGGAAGGGGATCAGAATATCATATATCTCATTCGACCTTATCTAAAAATAGCCAGCTCTCTTTTGAAATAACTATATCACTTAAATCAGCCTTGTGAACCTCACTGAGCCATGATAACTATACATCTAGAGAACAGAGAATTATTTGTACTGCATTCTCTACCAAACCTTCCAATCAGGATCAAGGAACCACAGAGCTATGTGTTTTACAAATATGTAGGAAGAAGTTCCCTATTTTGGGGAATTCACAACATAAAGAGACACATTTAATGATAGTGGAAAGGGATACAATATATAGCTGAAGTGAGTGAGCAAAGCTGATGATTGGCGCAGACATTGGCACTTCTATTTCTAAACATTTTAGTTTTATTATTGTGAGCAACAATGAACAGAACCATAAAAAGCAGCTGTCATGGAATGGAAGCTGTATTATATTCAGGGTAATTCCTTTAAGAAAAAAGAAAAAGATGCTTATTAACGTGTTTCACTGGTAACCACTTTCCTACATAACATTTAACCCTAGAATAGAGGTATTTTGGAAATCTACATGCATCTTCTGAGATAGCTAGCAAGGCCTTTACATCTTTCCCCATTCCTTAACACAGTCCATTGTTGTGTCATTCCTCACCACAGCCAAGCAGAACTGAATGAGATTTCATAATGCTACTCCAACATTGATCAAAGGGAGGTGTCTGTAAAAGGATAAAAAATACTGCCTTATCCAAACGGACAGAGCATACCTTTGTTACAGCATTCCTGTGAGCTGAGAGATGGCAGGAGAGACCATTAACTACAAAAGAGCCTGTTCAGTGGGTTTTGTTTTTATAACAACTTTCTACAAAAGTGGATGGTGGAGGGATTGATTTGAGAAGTTCATAGCAGCAAGTGAGTGAGAAGTTAATATTACCTCCTCTTTGATTTCTTCTTTTTCCTGACCTGAAGGCTTCGGTTCTAGTTTTGCTGGTTCAAGGGAAGGAAGGTAGTTCTTTGTGTACAGACTTTCAAAAAGTTTATCTACAAAACCTGAAGTTTCTGAGAAAGATACACATAAAACTTGATTATACATCTTGACTTAAATCTATTGTCAGGACTGTGTTGACAAGATAAATCCCTCCAAAACCAGCCACAAAGACTTTTTAAGTAGTATTTTTTTATTTTACGGAATGACAGCCTTGAAGAATTGTTTTCTATACAGCAACAGAACACATAGGTACACAAGAGGAAGCAGCATGGACAACCCCACATACCCGTTAGTACAGGCAGTCCCCGACTTACGCGGATCCGACTTATGTCGGATCCGCACTTATGAAGGGGGCTTTTCTCGCCCCGGAGCTCACGGGCGGCGGGTCGCCGCCCGTGTCCTCCGGGGCGAGAAAAGCTTCTCCCTGTCTCCCTGGTCTGCTGGGGGGGGTCCAGCAAAGCCGCTGGACACCCCCAGCAGACCAGGGACACCCGAGCAAAGCCACCGCCTGGGCGGCTTTGCTCCTGTCCCCCTGGTCTGCTGGGGGTGGTCCAGCTGGGCAGACCAGGCTTTTGTTGCGGGACGCCTCGGGTAGAGCAGTTGGGGGTGCTGCCGGGTTGGTCCTGTGGGAACCTACCGGGCAGCACCCCAGCTGTTCTGTCCCAGGTTCCAGATTCAGCAGCTGTTGAAACTGATCAGGCTGATTTCAGGAAGCTGGGGGCAGAGCAACTCTGCCTCCGGCTTCCTGTAGTCAGCCCCTGGTCAGTTTCAGTGGCAGCAGCTGAATCTGGACCCAGTTCCGACTTACATACAAATTCAACTTAAGAACAAACCTATAGTCCCTATCTTGTACGTAACCCGGGGACTGCCTGTACATCAACTTGTGGTGGAGGGACCACTTTCAACACTGAATACTTGATTTACTCAATAGTTCATTCAACTTTTGCCCCTCTACTAAAATTGCTGACTGAAGTAATTTTTGTGACGTTGATGCTCATCTGAGAAGATGACGACAAGATTTCACAAGATTTATGAACCCTTGGCCTAGAAGTGAGAGGCTCCAAATCACTATTTCCACTCCCTGGACAATCAAGTCTATTAAAAATAGACTTAAAAAAACCCAAAGGCAAAAACAAAACCCACCAATCTACATTTATTAGCAAATTTAATATTTGAAAACCCCTAATGTTTTAATTCCATCACCTTGACCTTAGCTGTTGAATTCTAACCTCTGGTTAGATATATATTTATTTCTCTTACCAGAGCATGCACACATGCTGCGTATGACATAATAACTTTTCACATTATGTGCACAAGTGATAACCTTTATAGTGTCATTTGATTTCCAACTGCTGAATTCTTTGAGATATCTAGCAAGACTAGAATGAGAGTCAGTTTTCTTTAACCTCATTAACCGAACATTTATAGTGATCAGAGGCCATGTGTGCACTGAGAGTTTTAGGCAATTTTTGATTTAGTTACCATACAGCTTTCATAGTGGAAGCAATAGTGTAGACACACAACGTTTTTACTACCACATCATTAAAAGATGCTCAAAGCATGTCTAGATGATAAAAATAATGGTGTGCGCTATGCTGCAGTTTTCACCATTGTTAACTCAGGAGGAGCTGGACTTGGGCTTAACTTGCTTATAATTCGAAGCACAGACAAGAAATAAAGGTTTTAATGGCATTTCCATTTTGGTCTTATGAATAGGATCGGCTCCTCACAAAACCAAAAGTGAAGGAAGGAGATAAAACAGCTCTTTAGTTTTCAATAAAAGGGGATTCTTACAAAAAGACTTTTCTATAAGATCCCCCTCCCTTTTTAGTCAAAATTCAAAAGCTGTTTGAATTTCACTCCATCTCGCTCTCAAGCCTAGTTATTTTAAACATTTGCAAAGGGGCGAAAAGGACAAAATGAGTCTGCTGAAGTTAATGAAGTTACACATGGAATAAGTTCATTGCATAATATCAGTCTTGGATCTGACATTAAAAAGATGGCATGGGTTCAGCTCCAGTAATAAGGAGGAAAATTTAGTTAGGTACAGAAGCGAACTAGCATCTTTAAGTCCTGAAGTTTCAATCTATTATAAAAAAATGGTTTCATCCTGTTGAAGGACTGGTGAGAAACAGGCACTAAGGAAATAAATTAAAGCCTTCAAACATGATGTTGTGAAAGTCTGTCATCTTCATTACTCACATTTAAGAGTAATCTCATCCTACTATACATGTTAATTTTATCACTAAAGATCAGATTTCCAAGTTCTCTGCATCCATATTTGAGACATGATTTTTAATGGGAAGAGAGCTTCCATTTTGGCACCTAAATAAGGAACAGATTTTTAGAAATACTCTACACCTGACAGTTCCGTTGTGAAAGTTATGGCCCAATTTTATTTTGCAAATCTGGCCACTAGGGTTTAAGGAAATTAAGTGTGAAATAAAACCTGTTAGTTTTTAACTCAATTGAACTTGTTTAGAAGTCAGATTGTGGAATCTTGGATCCTTTATTTCCTAGCAAGAAATACTAAATCTCATAAGGAAAGCAAAATTGTATATGGGAAGAAAAGAGTGGGCCCCAAGATGTCAACCCTTCCCCCCCCCCACCACAAAAAAAAAAAACTTTATATAATCCTTTCCAAATGGAAACTATGATCTTGCAGAACCACCACCTTCTAACAATAAATTCATCACAATTTAAAATCCTTAATCTTAATTTATAAAACGTTAAATGCAATAATTACATTTTAATATTTAACTGCATAGCTACTAAGAAAGCAGAAAAAGTACCTTTCTGCAGAAAGACGTCTAGCTGATCAGCACAGAATGCTTTCAGCTCTTTCTCTGGTTTGTCTTTCTTGACTAATGCCACAACATAGTTAGCTAAGGCTGAAGGATCTGCGTCACATCTGATAAGAAGAGAAAAAAATTACTTTTAGCAACACAATTTGATTTTGTTAAGCAATGTTGAAAAAGCATTCTGAAAAACCATAATAGTTATAGAAACATCAAGACAATCTTCTGACAATTTGTGTTGTTGGACCTATAGGAAAATATCCTGTAATCCAGAAACACCACAGTTGCGCCTGATTCCAATGCCATGGAAACATCTCTGCCATTGTTGCACACCAGTGAGCTATATTGATCTTATTTTGTGTTCCACTAACAATGTCAGAAAAAGCTCCCATGCCTTGTGCTCATTCTTTGGCTTCATTTGTGAAAAATACCATAATTCAATTCTTAGGTCAATGGACAACACTGACCCTATATGCCCCATAATTAGAGAAAATTTCAGAAAATGATATGGAAGACTGTTCCACAGTACGGATGTAAGTGACTAATCAAGTACTCAATTACCCAATAAACTGAGGTTTATTGGGTAGTTGAGTGGACTACTCAACTTCTCATATCCCCGCCCCCTTGCTGCCTCTGTATCAGAAGCAGCAGGAGGTGGGGAGGGGGAGCAGGAGCCAGTGATGGGGGGAGCCAGCTTAAAAGCTGATTCCCCCCCAGCACTGTGTCTAAAGTGCCACCTGTCAGTTCCCCCTACTTCCCCCACTCCATAAAGGCAGCAGCGCAGGAGGAGAAGAGCCTGCTGCAAAGCAGACTCTGCCTGCAGTGAGCAGAAGCTGCTCTGCATCCTGTGCAGCAGCTCCTGTCCATCAGGGGGGTTCCAGATCCCCGCTGGGGACCTCCACAGACAGGGGCTGCTGGACCCAGTGAGAGCCAGGACTGAGCAAGCCGGGCTCATCCTTGGTTTGCACCAGATCTGGGACTGCTGTGGCCCTGCATTTTAAATTCAGTAAGAGCTGCCCAACTCTTACTACATTTAAACTGCAGAGCTGTAGTGGGGGTAGTTCCTGGATCCAGTGTGAGCTGGGACAGAGTGCCTTCGCTTATTGACTAATCATGTAGCCAATACAAACTATATCGTCTATATGATTAGCCAGTTACTTGCCTCTTAACATCCTTATTCCACAGTGGAAATGCTGAAACCAGAATAGATTAACCAACCACATCTCACCAGGAAGAGATCTGGAAAAATGTGTATTACATACAATTTCATCACACAGCAGCACAAGAGAAAAGAATGAAGCCACCATGCAAACCTTAAGAACATATGAACAGCCATACTGAGTCAGACAAAAGGACCAGCTAGCCTTCTTCTGTCTTCCAACAAAATGTTTTGTTTCGAAAAGACGTATAGAACTTCAGTAATGAAAATGACTAATGCACAAAAAGTGGCAGGTTATCAGGTCTGTAATAATGTGATCAATATGTTCCATGCGAGGTCCCATGCACAACTTAAGGAACAGAAAAAGCTTTGGTGTTACAAAAAAGAAAGAACTTTCTTCCCTTCCAAACATATTTCTTGGTTTTAGTCTTTATGCCTTCCTCTTTAGCATCCCAATTCCTTTCATGATGTCCCACCATGGGCACAGTCTAGAACTTGCTAATTACATAACAGAAACTTGCATAACATGCATATTATATCCTGGAAAGGATCTTTTCCGCACATTCACTCCTCACTGATCTCAAATGCACAACCACTATCACAATTCTAAAACCTGGTCTCCAATAGAAATTCACAAAGACTACAACTTTGTATCGGAAGTCTGAAAGTGCTCAGATTAGAAGGCCAATCAGAATCAATGACAAAGACAAATGATCAAATAGAAAAGGTAGATGAGCATATTTGGAGGGATTTTTTAAAATATAAAGACATGGTACTGATTCTTAATTTAAGTTATTTTATCAAAATTAATGCAACAAGTGAAGAGTGAAAGTATTCAGAGGAAAAAACCACACGCACTAACAAACATTGTACTTGAACATTATTTTAATCCTTGTCCTTAATAATGGTAGTACTTAAGAGCTACGGCTCAAACCTTCATCTTAAATAAATCAGTATCATTAATAATTGCCAGAGTCTTCAAACATCCATTGTTAATAGGAAATGGGGCAAGTTTCAACAAGTCTCTGTTTCTTTGCTGTAATAGGTTTAGGATAGACCTCTAATATTGTTTGGCACAGTGGAACATTATATCAATGTTCATTTCTTTTACTAATGACATATGAATTAGTAAAGCTCATGTGAATATGTAATGACACTAGCCTGCAATAAATGTTCAATAAATATCGGCAATAAATATTATAGTGTATCTGAACACAATTCTTTTACAAGAGGTGTGCTTTTTAACAGACTGTAGCCAGAGTCACCTTGGGACCTAGTCAATGTTTCAAATGGACAAACACAAAAACAGAATATATTCAGTGAAACTAAAAATTCAGATAGTCCCATGTCCTTCACCAAACAATAACTCCATCCTCCAGCTTTCATTAGAAGGAAAAAAATTGTTATTGGCAAACATTTTATGAAGTGTGGATTTATACATATTTTACAAATATTTACCCAGTACATAAGGGACTCCTTTAGCACAACATTTGTTTGTAATTACATAAAAATGGCATATTATCAAAATCCTTCAAATGTTTGACTGGGAAGTTTCCTGCAGATCCCCAAGAGTGGATATTGAGTATTAGCTTTTGTCACCTTTTCAAATGTGACTCAAGATTTTATGAATTAGCTTAGTGTGTGTGATGGGATGAACTCATGGTGCACAGTTGAAGATTAAATGCATACTGAAGCCAAACGCTCTCTAACCCTCAAAATATGGTGCAAGTGCCACGTATGTGGTCTGCAAAGCCCTAAGCAAAAGTTTACTAATTATTAGTTCACATTCCTGTGAAGTAGGAAAATAAGTATATCCCCCTTTTACAAAAGGACCCAAGGCAATTTAAATGACTTCCCCAAAGCCAAAGAGGGCATTTCTCGCAGAGCTATTAGAACAGAGATTGTCTCTGGATCTCAGTCCTGTGCTCAGGCCACTTAAAAGGATAATCTCTAGGGAAGTGCTGCATATTGAAAAGTATGAGCCAGCACAGGACAATACACAAGCAGCTGCATGAACTGGTTAGCTAGGCCCTGCCACTAACCCAGTCTCTCGCCCCTTGGCCTACCCCCCCAACTGGCACGGCAGGGGCAGAGCACAGGGCATCTTTCGAACAGCTGGAACAGGAAGATTGCGACCCACAAGCCGTCTGTGCCAGAGCACTGGTTGGCCGAGCCCAAAAGTTTATCTGCGAGCCCGACGTTATGCCAGGTGTGGCACAGCAGCCCCGCGTGAGAGACCGCCAACCCGCTTTGTGAGGGCAACACGTTTCACACACACAACCCCAGGTCTCCCGCGCCCGTGAACATCCCCGCCCCTCACAGCACCCCCTTGCGACCCACAAGCCGTCTGTGCCAGAGCACTGGTTGGCCGAGCCCAAAAGTTTATCTGCGAGCCCGACGTTATGCCAGGTGTGGCACAGCAGCCCCGCGTGAGAGACCGCCAACCCGCTTTGTGAGGGCAACACGTTTCACACACACAACCCCAGGTCTCCCGCGCCCGTGAACATCCCCGCCCCTCACAGCACCCCCGTATTTTG